ATTGTAAAGTGGTAAACTGAAGTCTATGAGCTTATTCATATAGAAATTAGACATTAAACTATGGATGATCCAGTAAAATTATCATCTGTACGGATTGCAGTAATGTTAAGACTGCCTTCTTTGGGCATACACTATAAAGAAGCAATAAAATAATATGATTGATTACAAGTTTCAAGCTCGAACTAGTCACACTCGATAGAATCGTAGAACAAAGGCTACAAAGAAATTCTTAAAATGCTATTATTTACTTGGATAACGACGAACAATTTTATGTCTAATGAAGTCAATCTCATCTATGGCTCTGGCTAAGTTCAAATTTACGCGATGACAACTAGCCTTCTAAAATTCCCTGTGTAACATTGAAATAAATGAGCACAATCTCACGCAAAGTATTACAACCATTCCTGATTCTCAGTTTTTATCACCAACTCATCCCAATTCCCATCACCAGAGGGGACAAAAATCTGTTAAAATTGAAAAAAGCCAAAAAGATGATGCAGAATAGTTATAACTGGAGGACTATATATGTAATTAATTATACAATCAGCCTAGAGAGCAAGTTCAAAATTGTCTTAATGCTGCTCGCAAACATTAATGTGGATGTTAAACTAGAAGAATAGAAGATATTGCAAAGTCTTTTGGTTCTCTTTTTTCAATCTCTATGGAAAGGGATCAAATTCTTTCGCATTATCCTCTCGATCTCGTGATCCAAATAGTTTTGTGTTGCAAAAGATTGGATGTCGATGAGTACCATAAAGTGCTAGCTAATGCCAATGATTCTTCTTTAGCGCTCCACTTGTTCTTGAGCCTGCATTTTGCAAAGCATGGTGTACAAGTCAATGACATTGGAGAACTTTTATGATATGCATACTACGAAACAAAAAAGATGAAGTAGGACTTGTACACGCCAAATTTTTTGGCGATTCAATATAATAAGTTGCAAGTTTCAATGCTCCACTTCTTGGATTATTCAAATTATATTTGAATATTTTAACCATTTACATTTTAAAAAAATATATTAATTAAGAAATGAAGGAAAATAATAATGGTTATTGAAATAAGTAAAACGAAGAGCTAAAAATAGAGTTTGTTGGAGCGTGTGAATAAAAATTCACATTCTAAATTAAATTTATTTTTAGTATGTATCAGATGCTCTTTAAAAATAAAGATTCTTGAAGATGCTCTTTTAATATCTGGCATTAAAGAAAAGCACGAGTTCACATGGAGTCGGAACACTTTCACAACACTTCACAATTATCAAGACATCGGGATGTGAAGCAACATTTTATGTTTATCTAAATCATGTGAAAATCGAGATGATATATTTGCTCAACCAACGGTTAGGCATTACTTCAAGTCATATAACAAATATGTACTTCAAGTCATATAACAAATCTGTAAACACGATGCATCCAAAAAAGTTAATAAGACGAAGCTGAAGTAACATCAAATATGGACTCTATATTGTAACTAATAGTTGCGAATAAGAAAGAGAATGCATGAATGAAAAACTAACTTTAAAATATGGTAGATTTTTATTATCTCAAGCTTTATGTTTTAGCTCAACATCTCTAAACTAACAATTCTAACAACCAATAATATCAGAATAGTGGATATATAGCTATCAATCAACTGTAAGTTATAACTACTAAAGCTCAAACTTAGTGGGCTTAATTATCCTAATGGTCATTGAAGTTTTGACTAATTATTTCGATGGTCATTGAAATTATTTTCTTATAGTAATAGTCATTCAAGTTTCTAAAGATTACACAAATGATCATCAATTAAAAGTATTAACACTAAATCCTACGTTAGTGCCAATGTGCCACCAAATAGTGTTATTTATTATGCTAACTGTTGACGCCGACCTTCGAGGCGATTAAGGTCGGATTGATCCACGTCATTAGTATAACATATGTTGAGCTTGGTCGTGTGAGGTCAGCTCGGAAGTGGATACCTTCTGCGAATCTGCGATAAGCTTGTGTAGTCTTTCAAGGCAAGGAAATCAGAAGTGTTAGCATCCCCCACTAAGTAATGCATTAATTGCTGGGGGCCCACCTTCAATTAATGCTCCGAAGTAATCTGACGGAATCCAGCTCGGCAACCAATCTCATCGCACCAGCCACTATACTTCTTCAGCTCGGAATTCCAGTGAAAAGATAGGAGGTGCAGCATGCGTGCATATTTTCCCTATAAATAGGGATCGCAAGCCCAAAAGAAAAGGAGGAACGTGAATACAAGCATATACAAACTCTTAGCATATTTTCTTACTTCAAATATCTCTTATTACTAGGAAAAGAGAGGGATTGTATCATATTCTTGTAAACACATGGTTATTTCAATAAGAAATCCACGTTTCTTTCCTTAAGTTGGCTTGAATATCGTTCATATATATTTCAACGTCAACAGTTTGGCGCTAAAANAATCCACGTTTCTTTCCTTAAGTTGACTTGAATATCGTTCATACAAATTTCAACGTCAACACTAACTATTTAATTTTTGTTGACTTGACACAATAAATATTATCATTTGATGACATGTTGGCTCTTAATGGTACTACATGTGGTTTGCCGTTAATTTTTGAACCGCACAACAATTAGTGTAAGCATTAGAAACTCGTAATTACTTAAAACTTCAATAATCATTAACTTAATTAACTCTTTTTATTATTTTTGAAAATGGGCAAGAGTATTATTTGGAGAGAGCTAATTTCTTTTTAAAATTTT